GATGTGGGATGAAGAAAGGATAGGAGTTAATGGCAGTGTGTGTGGCCTGGGTGGAAAGAGTGACCTTCTCCCGTGCCACACAGACTGTGCGGTGGGACCGGATGAAGGTCTAAGGTGTGGGTGGTGAGAGTTCTGATTGACCTTGTACAGTTTGAAGGCCCTTCAGAAATGTTTGCTTGGAATCTGTGAGCCACGTGTGGTGACAGGTGTGTGGCAGCACACAGGCTCACAGACTTGGCTTTGCTCCCGGAAGGACATGGTGGAAGGTGGTTGGAGTCATCCCTGAATGGACTGTGGCTGAATCTGGGAGGTGGTAACCAGCTCCCCTGGGTGCTTGTGGCTGGAGAAGGGGGCTGGGCCGGGTCTGCACTCCACCCCGACTTAGAGCCTGGGGAAAGGGGAAGCACTGGCAGACTAGGTGGGTGAGTCACCAGGGGGCCAGGTGGGAGTGAAGGAAGAGCCAGCTGGTGGACATGCTGCGGGGGGAACTTGCACAGTGAGGACTGAGGGAGGCTGTCACCTTGAAGGTCGAGGCACTGTGGTTGGACCTAACAAAAACAGGTTCAGGGAGGGTCTGCAGCACGTTTGTGCACAGCCACAGCTGTAGACAGCGCGAAGGCACAGAGCACAGGTGAGTTTAGAGGACGGGGGGCGCTCACACACTCTTGCATGTGCACACCCACCCACATGCACACGCACACATATGCACACGCACACGTGCGCACAGATTCCCTTACTGGGCTTGGGGCCAAGCCGCAGCAGGTGTGCTCCTTCCTAGTTGCCGTCTGTCTGTACGGTGGGCGGAGTGTATGCGTTTGAATCTGGCCTTGTTAGCCCGTCCCCTGAGACTGGGAAGAACGCCCACATGATGCTCATCTGTCATTGAATTCTGCTTCCTTCTCCACTTGTTCAGAGAATTGGAACCCTCCTTTATTCCTGTCACTCTCCTAAACTCAGCCAAGACTCTCTTTTATGACTCAGTTCATTATCGTCAACCAAGCAGAAGCACAGCAGGTAATGATGGACAAAAAGTTTCCAAGTGGCTTTTGCCAAAAAGATTCTTAACTCAAAATGCAGCAGAAAGACTCACACTAGCTAGATCTTTGTGCTGCTGGTGACCCCCAGGCCGGTGACGGTCTCTGTCCCCAACATGGTCTGTGCCTAGGTGGGGGGAGGCTCCTGAATGATTACTACAGCATGCAGGGAGAAGTGCCTGGACAGAGATGAGCCCTTCCAGGTCTGTCATGAGAGTGAGGAGCTGTAGGAGGCTCCGGCAGAAGAGGGTGTCTGCCCCGAGCCATAGAACTTAGGTAGAAGTTGCCCCATTAAGAGAGGAGAAGCAGGAGGACAGTCTGGTATGTGAACAGCATGACGTGGAGGATGCCGAGGGCTCCCCACTGCTCAGCACTGACAGGCCCCTGAGAAAGTGTCTGCGTAGGCTCTGTTCGCTCATCCCAGACTGAAGCCCGGCAACTAAGCATGCTCGTCGTGAGCCAAGGGGCCTGTCCGCTCCCTGGTGAGCCCTGACTGTTCATGATAGGACTCAGCTCCTCTGGGGGCTTGTTGCTGAGACAGTGTGTGATGGCAAGTTGCGGAGCATGAGAGAGCAATGCAGTTCACGGGGGACTGCAGCTCTCAGCAGTCGGGGGGGGGGGGAGCACCCATGAGTGAGAGCCTTCGACTCACAGCTGCCCCTGGCGCCTCCTCACAAAACCTCCTCTTGATATGCAGAGTTGCAGAATTCTAAGTGTCTCCTTTTCTTTAGTTGTTGATTATCTAAGAGTAATTGGAAAGTGGAATTTGGTTATAATTTCTAATTAACCATCTTCACAGAGTTCTGGAATGATCCCAAAGTGTTTAGATACTGTTGAGTTGCTAACAGTTAAGTGCCTTTAAAATAATAGATGGCTCTTTTGGGTAAACTTGGGATGAGTCTGTCAAACTATTGCTGTAATGAGCTCCAGCCGCCTGTTCAGGGCCGCACGCAGCTTCCTGGGTCAGTGGTGTTCTCACCCTCATGGGGACCCTTTTGCTCCTGTCCTAGACTTTATGATTCTCGGCAATAGGTACCACTTGGTTTTTAAATTACTATTTAGTATTTGGTAAATATAAGTATGTAAATTATATGTTAAAATATTGCTTCTGTTATATATCTGATAGATATTGCATTAATACCTTTGAGTGTTAGTGGAGTTGGGTAAATAGTATACTGACTCCTTTAGAGATATTAATCTTTCTTTGAACTTTGCAAAAAATGTCCATTGTAATTAGATGTTGTTGAATTGAGAATAAAGGTTCCTTTAAGGGAGAACTAAAGGCATTGCCAAGGAGTTATTTTCAGAAATTTACTTGTTAAAGACTCTTCTGAAAGTTTTAGTACTTTATCTCTGTAGAAAGATGCCTCTTTATGTGTTTGAGAAGGGAAGAGATACAGCCGATGTCACTTTGTGCAGGTGCGGCTGGCAGTGCACTCCCAAAGCAGTGCCCAGGCCAAGCCAAGGCCCTGGGCGGCCGCCCACCTGCCCACCTGCCCACTCGCTCCCTCACAGGTTGGTATGATGGATTCAGGAGGGTTCAGATGGGACGGCGCAGCAGACATGGCCCTAAAATTGGAGCCGTGTGTCAGCACTCTGGACAGACCCTCTAGCTGGCCTCTGTTTCCTCATCATAAGTGATCTTTAAAAATGGAAGTAAAACTTATAGACATGTTGTAAAAAGCCAATAAAATAGTATGTGCAAAAGAACTTTGAGAAATACTAAGAACTGTGCAGCTAGAAGGAATTATTTGTAAGCAAAAATGGAGATGGAGAGCAGGCACGGTGGCTCACACCTGGAATCCCAGCACTCTGGGAGGCTGAAGCAGGTACACTGTCTGAGCTCACAGGTTTGAGACCAGCCTGAACCAGAGACTTCGTCTCTAAAAATAGCTGGGCATTGTGGGGCTCCTGTAGTTCTGGCTACTTGGGAGGCTGAGGCAAGAGAATCGCTTGAGTCCAAGAGTCCAGGGTTGCTGTGAGCTGTGACTCCATGGCACTCTACCAGGGACGACAAAGTGAGACTCTGTCTCAAAAGAAAAAAAGAAAAACGTGGAACTGCACATATGCAGCAGCAGGCAGTTGTGCCACTGTCACTGTTCGCAAGTCACACCCTCCTGGCTGGCTCACTTCCTCAGCGCCCGTTGTCCTGTTCCTCATGAAAGTCTGCTGTAGTGTGAGGGAAATGAAATGTCACCTCTGGGTTATTTATTTTGAAAAAAACCAAGAAATTGCTTAAGTAACAAATAGTTTAGAGGTTGTGGAGGAGGAATAACCAGCATTCTGCAGCAGGATCTTCCAGACCCTGACTGCTGGACGGTGTGGCGATGAGCCTGCGTTGGAAGGAGGCTCAGCATTAGCTGCATTTCACCAGGTCTGAGGTGGGGCCGTGTTGCTCTCAACCCCACACCAGGAAGGGCTGGTGGCACTGGCACCCAGCGGCAGGCAGCTTCTCACTGGTGGCCATGCGGTAGGGATTTGTAGGTGGATGAACACAGGGGTTCTGGAAGCTGTATGGACCCATGTACTCAGTATTTTGGGGTTTTATTTTTCACTGTTTTAGTTAACTAAATGTTATGCTCAATCGCCCTAATTCAGGGCAGCTAAAGTAAAGAAACCACAGACTTTGCCCAGACGCCCATAGTGCACACTCCGTGTTTTGCCTGTTCACTGTCTCCTGGTTTGCTCCCCCCTCAGCTGCAGCTGATCAGCTGACATGGCACTGTTACCTGGGACAACCCTTCCTGGGCAGGTGCATGTTTATGTGTCCAGGCCACTGGGTGACGTGTCACATTGTCCAAAGGGGCACAATGGTGTTGCACTCTGCTTCCTGGAGCTGCACAGCCTGTGTTGGGTGAAACCAGCCCTGACACTGTGTTCTGCAGTTCTTTTCCAAAGGCAGCAAACCAGTGTGTGTACGTGATCTCTCATGCGTTATGCTTATTAAATTTTACTAGCCAAAATGCCATGAGCTCTTATGAACCTCATTATTTCTGAAAATGACACAAAACCTCTGTGGATTACCAGAATTGTCACATATAGGTGATGTATATAGCCGGGGAAAGGAATCAAATCCACAGTGTATTTGGTGCTGTGAGCACCATGTGTTCTGTTGAATACTGCTGCTTTTTGGTAAACAAGGACAGCTCTGGATTATCCATAGCAGGGCAGGAAAGCCACATGCTAGACAGTCCTACAATTGTTTTTTAATCCTTTGCATGCATTGCATTATTTAAAACTATTTAAACTTTGGGTTAGATTTTATTCGTTCAAAAATGAGATTTTGTGTGCTTAGAGGTAAGGTTCGGTGAGGAGCTTAGTGCCGTCCACTTAGAGCTCCCACGTGATGTTAGTTGTACATGTGGTAACTTCATCTGACCAGAACCTCACTGAAATAACTATCCAGCGTTCTCTTTGACTACAGAATCAATGCATATTTGTTTGTAGAACATTTAGAAAAATCGGATCAAGATAGGAGAAAATAAAGTGACTGTTAACCAGCACTGTGAGATGGGTGCCCCCGTCCACTCCTCCATCTTGTGCCCTGCTCTGGGGCTGCTGCTTTGCTGGTAACGGTGTTCACTGCACATAGCCTGGTCATCTGTCCCTCTCACTGAACACACCCAGTAAGGCTATGATGGATGAAAGAGTGATCACGTAAGATCCTGTGAAAGAAACACCTGGTGGAGACATCTGAGGACACTGCCATAATCATAGGGAAGGAGGACCCTTCACCCTTGAGGAGAACGGATCCCTCGAGGCAGAGAGGCACGATGCTGTGACTTGCACCAGCTTTCCAGTCTTGCCGTCATTCTCTGGGAGTATTCAGGGTGACGCCTCTCCCAGAGGGCTTTGGGGTGAAAACCCACCCCTCAAAGCCTTGGCTGGTCCACTCTCCCTGCGTCAGTGCTCTGCAGGTGTGCGAAGCGGCTAAGTCCTCTCTCTTCCTTCATGTTCTGCCTTTAGGTGGCGGCAATTAACCCAAACCACCCACTTGCCCAGATGCCTTTGCCACCGTCCATGAAAAACTGTATCCAGCTGGCAGCCTGTGCGGCCCACGAGCTCCTGCCCATGGTCCCCGACCTCCCGGCTGACCTGTTCACGTCCTGCCTCACCACCCCCATCAAGATCGCCCTGCGCTGGTGAGTGGCCCTGCTGTCCCTGTGGTGATGCCCCCACCCTGGGCCTTCCCAGGGTCCTGATTTACCCAGACCCACCCAGGTTAATGAGCCCAGTTACAGACTCGAGCCCGTTTTCTGTCTTGTCACTCGGACTCCGAACAACACTTGGGTCTCCCTCTGATAGCCACACATCCTCTCTTCCTCCTGGGTCAGCTCAAGTGCAGATTTCTGTTCTGTGATTTCCGAGAACATCCTGTTTGTCTCTGTTAGTGTGGATGTGTCATTAGACATTACCAGGATGGGCTGTGATGGAGAAAAAAAGAACTAATATGAAAAGGAAAGTTATTTAATTCCTGGCTTGAATTGAAGAATAATCTTTCAATGTACTCTTAGTATAAAAAAAATCCATGATATTTTCTACCTACATTCTTTTGAGAAGTCCAGAGCATTTGGGGAGGTGGCCAAGGAAATGTGTGATGCTCCCAGATGGTGGCACCTTCAGCCCTGGTAGTGGCTCAACTCTCCACTTTCTCATATCTGCTTTGCCATTTTATGTTTTGCTGAAAAGCTTCCGTTGTCCCTGTTGGCAGCCAGCAGGTCAGCACCTCTCCGGGGAGGCGGAGATGCAGGTGTAGGTGCCCTTGGGCAGCTAACAGGGCACTCCCAGCTGGGTGTGTTCCCGGGCTTCAGTCAAGCAGACGCTCCCGGTTTTTCAGCCCATACCCTGAGTGGACTCAGGAGCAACAACAGCAATGAAGTCATCAGCCCGGGGAACCCTGAGTGAAGGAGCCTGCAGCAGGGCAGCCTGGGTTTGCCCTGAGCTTCTCTGCTGGAGGAGGACCTGGCCTTCCTGCCATTCACTCTCCCACACCCAGATCTTCCCAGGGCTGCAGATGACCTGGGCAGAGGCCTCCTTCCAGTGTTGGCAGAGACCAGGAGAAGAGCGAGTGCTTACAGGGTAGCAAAGGGGTGACTGCAGTGTCTCTGCTGCCCAATTAATCCTCTGCCACCCCTGAGGGACACAGACTAGGGCCTGGCTCAGGTATCCTGTCTACTCCCAGCAGGACAGAGCCCTGGGACAGACTCACACCTGAGGGCCATAGCCACCGCTCAGAGACAGGAACCTGAAGCAGAATTACTACAAAACACAAGTGGTACACACAGTCAAGGAAGTGGAACTAGATATGAGATGTAGGAAGAACGCTGTGGCTCCCTGTGTCCTCAAACTCATATGGACAACTGAGGCCCTGACGTGGCAGTGTTGGGAGAATGCGTAGGTCGGAGTCAGTACAGTCAGTTACCCTGGAAAGCAAGTCCATCCCTCCTGCTCGCTCACACTCTGGCCACACCTCCTCTGGGGGCCAATGCCCTGGGAGGGCCCAGCACATGTGCCTCACTGACCTTCAACTTCCAGCCTCCAGAACAGTAAGACATCAGGGTCTTTTCTTGATGGAGAGAAGTTGACTAATGGGTATAAAAATTCAGTTAGATATGATGAATAACTTCTAATATTCAGTGATAGAGAGGGAAATTATGGTTAAATGTCAAAATGGTTTGAATACAAAGAAAAAAGATATTCTCTAATGAGGGCCACATGCAGTAGCTGACACATGTAATCCCAGCACTCCGGGAGGCTGAGGCAGGTGGATCATTTGAGTTCAGGAGTTCAAGACCAGTCTGAGCAAGAGTGAGACCTTGTCTCTGCTAAAAATAGAAAAACTAGCCAGGTGTGCTGGTGGCACCTTTAGTCTGAACTACCTGGGAAGCTGAGGCAGGAGGATCACTTGAGCCCAGGAGTGTGAGGTTGCTGTGAGCTGTCACACCAGAGCACACTACCAAGGGTGACAAAGTAAGACTTTGTCTCAAAAAAAAAAAAAGCAAAAGAAGGAAGATAGTCTCCTGTTTACCCTGATTTGACCATTCACATCATATACATTTATGAAAATATCATGTGTCCCAAAATAAGTGTGTATGTGGCACACCAATTTATCATAGAAAACAATCATTGTCCTTATAATTATTCAGTTTTGTGTTCTATTTAAAGGACTAAGACAAAGAAAAAAAGTAATATATAAAAAGAACCCAGTAGTAGTGGTAGGAAAACCATAACATTTGAAATAGGACCATGGAGGGTGGGACTTCTAGCAGGAAAGAGACGCTGATGCCCAAGTGGATGTGCTGAGGGTGACAGGGACGCCCAGGAGGTGGCGGGACAGAGCAGGGACTGGGGGTAAGCAGCAGCAGAAGTGGAGACCCAACACGTAGACTGGACCTTCTGTGGGGAGAGAGTAGAATGTGGCCCAGGCGGATGGATACACCTGAAGGGCCCCAGGACACATTCCCTAGAATTTGAGGATGGGTGGAGGTCCCCAGTGGCAGGGCTCAGGGCAGACGGGGAGAAATGGGAGACCTCTGATGTCAGCACACGCCATGAGTGTGCAGTCTCTTGCAGAAGGCCCCTCCTGGATGTTGGGCAGTTTCTGAGTTGCGCTCTGCCCCTCTCTACTCCTTGATGTCGGGGTCTCTCTGGATGTGGTCTGGCTTAGGTCATCAGTAACACTGCTTTTTGCCTCTGTGCCCGGCATCCGGTTGCTGTCGGCAGAGGCTGTAGAGCTCCCATTTAACCAGCCCAGGAAGAGCTCTGTCCAGATTACTCAGGAGTTCCTTCCTTTCATTAATTGTGCAAAAACCAGTTTATTAGCTGCCAACTGTGTGCCTTATAGACCCCTGCTCAGCACTGCAGGAGCCGCAGAGGCGTATTGCCCTGAAAAAAAATTGTCATCTGGCTGAGGAGATAAGACAGCTTGAAAAGTCATGTTATAAATGGTACTTCATGTAAGACAAAGGTCAGGGAGTTTCAGGCACTATATGACAGAGACTAAAGGAATTCATGGCATCAGGGGCCACTTGTTCCCAGAGCGTAGAAAAATCCCCAGGAGCCAAAGCTTGGAGAACACTTTGGGTGGAGATAGACTTGAACCAAGTCTGGTCAGGGGTTGGGACGGGAAAAGGAGGGGAGCACCTAAGTTGGGGGCAGGAGGTGGGGGCACCTCAGATGGGGAGAGAAGGATGGGGGCACCTCAGAGGAGGAGGGGGCACCTCAGATGGGAGCAGGAGGATGGGGGCACCTCAGAGGAGGATGGGGGTACCTCAGATGGGAGCAGGAGGAGGGGCACCTCAGATGGGGAGAGGCGGATGGGGGCACCTCAGATGGGAGCAGGAGGAGGGGGCACCTCAGTTGGGGGCAGGAGGTGGGGGCACCTCAGATGGGGAGAGGAGGA